CATCCACTTAGAACCCCAAGCAAATAAAAACGTCCAGCACAGATTGTACCAAGCACTGTGCTACTATGTACAGCTCACGAATCATTTCGTCAAATCCTAACAATGACAACAACAAAACAGCCACAGGAGATAGGTGTCACAATGGTCATCGCCAATTTTACAAATAAGGACATGGACGTGTAGAGAAGGTCAAGCAAGTGGCAGACCTGAGGCTTATGTTCCAAACTTTGGCTTCCATTTGAAATGAAGACACTGGCGGGACGGGGCGGGGGGTGGGGGGCAAGTGAGCCGCCAAGAACCAGCGAAAAGTACTCCCTTTGGCTCTTGGTTCATTTACACAGCAAGCCAGCCGGCAAGAACAGATGATCTCATCGTGTTTGTTTTTCTAACTGATTATCTCCAGGCGCCTGAGACTGTTGTTCTGCCCTGTTGTCTCCAAGTTCCTTCTTCCTTCTGAACCATCCAATTCCTGCCAAGTTCTCCACCCCATCTGTGGGCAGGAGCAAATCCTGTTAATGGCTGATTGAAGAGAACTGAATGTACAGAATTCTCCTTTCTATACTAATCCAAAAACACCTCTAACAGTTTCCCAGACAGTACCCAGTACGACGGAGGCTAGTGACAGGTAAATGACAGCTTGTGTGTGTGCGGGGTGGGGGGTGGGGGATAGAAAATTATATACAGAGCCCTGAACTTAAAATCTGGAAGTCCACTTTCAAGTTCTGGTAAGACCACTTACAGGTTGGCTGACCTTGGGCACGTCTCTTATTGGTAACTTCATTTCCTTAAGCACGAAATGAGGATGGTGACATTGATCTACGATGCACCTAGCACAGTGGCCGGCACAGAGAAAGTGGTCACATCACGGTTTTGGCAGCTCTGCATGGAGAAGGGTACAGAGGGGAGTAAAAGAGGCCCAGAAGGCGAATACTGGGACGAAAACTCCACTATGCTGACATGCGTTCACATTATATAAAGGGAGTGGCTTTCATTTAAAATAATTTTTTAAAAAATATCTAACTAGGGGGTTGGCTTCAGGATGTGCTGGGTGTCAGAGAGCACCTCAACATGTATGGAGCCGTACCCTTCTTATACACAATGCTGGCGAAGTGATTTCTGTAGATTCTCTCACTTATTCTTGTGGGAAGCTGGGTGGGAGGTCTTATTACTGTGCCTTCAAATTCACAGGCACAAAGAGTGGCCAAGTGCACCCAGCTGGTAGGCGATGGAGCACTGTAACTCTAGGTCCCCCTAGGATACACTGAGTATGTTGTCTCATAAAATAAATAGCTCTCCCCATTTTCTCAATCCATTGAGATTTTGCTTCCTGGTAATTGTCATCAGTTTGGCTCAAATAAACTCTTATAAGCGTTCTCTTAGGCTGGATGTTGTTTCTATCAACATATATAACATTATTATTACTGAAAAGCTTTGTAACAACCTTTTATTTTAGTTGCTTTTATTTCTTTCTCTTTTTTTTAAACTTTATTGGGGAACAGTGAGTTTTTCCAGGACCCATCAGTTCCAAGTCAAGTAGTTGTTTCAATCTAGTTATGGAGGGCGCAGCTCAGCTCCAAATCCAGTCGCCATTTTCAATTTGGTTGCCTGGGGTGGGGGGGTGCAGCCCACCATCCCATGCGGGAATCAAACTGGCAACCTTGTTGTTAAGAGCAAGCACTCTAACCAACTGAGTCATCCAGCCGCCACTACTTTGATTTACCGTATTTCCCCAGGTATAAGATGCTCCCATGTATAAGACGCACCTTAATTTTGGGGCCCGAAATTTGAAAAACAATGTATTACATAAAGTTATTGAACTCAAGTTTTATTCATCATAAAATTCATACAACTCCTCATCGCTGTCAAAACTCCCAACCATGAGCTTGTCCTCATCTGTGTCTGATGGTGAATCACTGTCTTCATATATTGCCTCCTCCTCAGTTCCATCTATGGCATTTGAAATCTACAATCACTGTATAAGACGCACCCAGTTTTTAGACTCCAAAGTTTTTGAAAAAGGGTGCATCTTATACACGGGGAAACACGGTATTAACTCTATGAGATTTCAAAGTTAATCATTACCCAAGCCATTTACTTGACAAAACTTGTAACAGAGTGATAAAAGTGAACTGGTATCTTTTTTTTTTTTTTTTTTGTAAGCTGAACCATCGTGCCACCTGTTGGCAGCTCAGCGGCTGCTCAGCTCAGGCCAGGAATTCAACCGCTGTTGCTCAGAGCTCAAACTCTTGAGCAAGCTCTTAACCAACTGAGCCACTCGGCCGGCCCTGAACTGATATCTTAAGATGATTAACCATAGAGCTGGGAGGACTATGGGTGGAGCTGGGCCCCTTGTTAACCCTAGTCCTGGCTTCCTGTTAAACTTTGTGCTAACTTCTGGGGGAGGGATAAAACAATAAATAAATGAATAGCTCTTTTCTGTCCAAATATGTGAAATCAAAGCTCTGAGGCAGGAACTCTTCGAGCATAGAGTACTGAGTCTAACCACCTCTCAGAGCCACACGCCAAACTGACCAAAGTACTTCAAAAGGTTGTTCTTAAAACCTATGTCACAGGATGTCCTTAGAGGGTGGGGACTCTTGCAGACTAATTAATTTCTGATGGTATCGAAACCCATATGTGGCACATAGTAGGTCCACCATAAATATTTGATGAATGAAAAATAGATGTATCTGTGATTCTGACATTCTGTGGGCACACTGGATTTTCTCTCCCCAATTTCTATCTTCTAGTTTTCTGAATTATGACAAAAAGGGGAGATTCTAACATTCTGTTGAGTGCCAACGTATCAGGCATTATTGTGAGGAATATGTATACATGCAGAAATAGAGACACAGGTGTAGTTTTAGACATAGTTATAAACATCAACAGTTATATATAGTGATATAGATAGCGATATACTTATAAATACAGAGAGAGATACGATGTCGTTAGAGATAGTGATAGATATTGATATGACCATAGATATTGGCATAACTATAGATACAGAAATTGATAGTTATAAAGACAGATAGACATCTAGACAGAGGTAGACATATCAATATAGGTATCTCTGCCTTTTAGCCCTCTTAACACACGGGGTCATCAGCTTCCCACAGATTAGTGTGAACGCTGGACCCTGCAGTGTTCACGTCCAGGAATGTATATACCTGTTCCCTCGCATGAGACTCAAACACCAGAGGTTGAGCAGCCATTTCTTTTGGTGAAGTGTAAGTATTCAATGAGAGTTTCCCCAGAGAGAGGATTAAGGAACGGTCACACAGAGAGTTCTCATCTGTGCCGAGTCGGGGCTTCCGCGCTTTGTGCAGGACCACGTTCATTCTCCACCGCAGCTTTACGACACGGGTGCTGCGAATATGTCCATGTGTTAGAGAGAGGTTAGGAAAACTGCCACAAGGCGAGTAAGTGCTGAGTGAACAGGCTGGAACGTGAAACTGTGCATTAGGCCCCAACGAGCATGCGTGCAGCTGCTACTTCCTCCTCAGCTGCATTTGGCCCTCTCGTGGGCGCACAGAACCACAAGCATGTGTATAAGGTAATCTCAAGGACATTTCTTTTTATTTTATTAAGAGAGGTGTGTTAGAGTTTCAGCCTAGGAATTTCAAGAGGGTGCCATTCAGCCCATAACAGAGGATCGGTTAATTTCCTTGTTATTTCTGTCCCTTTTGTTTTCGTCTTTAGCCACTTACTGAGGGGTTGTTTGCACGGTCCTTGGGTATCTTAAGGAAGGTTCTGAGGTCATTTATACATCTGTGTATAAAAGTAGCAACTGAGTCTGGTATTCTGGCCCTGAATCAGCCTGTCGTGAAAAAGAGCAGGAAAGGGGACGCTTCTAGAGCCAGCTCTGCTACTAAACTCACCTTGAAACTTTGGTGCGATCCTGGTCCCTCTTGGGACACTGGCCTACACCAGAGTGTTTAAGCTCAAATGTCCACGGGGGCTGGACGGGCACAGTAAGTGGCGAAGCAGGGAGGTGTGACGTGGTGGAAACCGTGTCATTTAAAATCGCAACATCTCATTTGTTTAAATGAAGCAGACAAATCTTGGCTCCAGCCAGCTGGTGCCAGGCTGAAATAACGGCCCGGACCGTTAAGTTTTCAAAATAAACCTTCGTTCAATTCAAGACTTTTAAATGAAATCTCCCAAATTTTAAATGGTGGCAATTCTTTTTTTTTTTCTGCAAAGCTGGAAGGCCAAAAGGGGCACGTCTGGACCAGCTGGTATCTTAGGGTCTTTCTTGCCCAATGGCACTCTATAAAACAAAAGATAGTACTGCTGATTGACAAGCACTAACAGGAAGGGGACACATTCGATGGAAGTCTTGTCAAACTGAATTATCCCATTGCGGAAACTGAGGGGGAAGAGATGACCTGTCTGCAGTGACAAAGGGCTTAGATCTCAAAGCTAATGGTGACGTGGCTTTCTTTCTGTCAGTATTCTCATGGGGAGGGCATGCTAGCTGAAGCCAAGTCTTACAATCAAACTTCGAGAAGGACCCTGACAAATGAGGGTTCTGTTCCCGTGTTAGGGGTATGTATTGGAATCTAGAGTGGCAAGACGTTTGATTTTATGGCTCAGCTCTGATGGACTGGCAACAGCTGCCCAGAACACTGACCTGGCGTTAGACCCTGAGGCCAGGCTCCAGTCCGGTAGGGAAGGTGCTGTGATCCTAGCCTCGTCCGTCGTTTCTACCACCAAGGGGCTGGCCCCGTGGCTGCCCTCCTGAGCTTAAATCCCAGGGGGTGAAGGAGGAGAAGACCCTCGGGGGTGTAGACCAACCTCATTTAGTAACTACAGGCCCTTCCCATAGTTCTCTGCCTCGCGGGCCTCAGCTGGGAAGAGAAATCCTAAATCCTAAGTCAATGAATTGTGCCTTCCACATTCCGGGGAGCTGCAACAAAGCGATCACTGCAGCAGTTAGCCGGAAAGGTGCCTTCCTTGTGAGGAGGACGGTCCCGCTCCATGACCAATCTATCTACCAGCCATCTCTTCCCAGGGCAGCTGGCAAACCTGAGTCGTCTGTGCCTGCTCCCTGAGACCGCTCCATCATGCAGTGGCTGATGAGGTTCCGGGCCCTCTGGGGCACCTATAAACCCTGCCATGGCTTCCGCCCCGCCCCTCAGTACCTGCGCTACCAGTCTTTTTCAGAAGTTGGAGTCCTGAGATCGAGTGACCACGATGTCCCCAAGGAATTTAACTTTGCAAGGGATGTGGTAGACTACTGGACCCAAATAGAGAAGGTGAGGCAGCCCCCGGGACGGGGGGAGAGCAGGGCAGGCCTCACGGGTTTTATCTCGCTCCTCGCAGGCTGAGGGCACAGGACCAGAAAGGCTTCGGCCTCAGCTCACCAGCAGGGTGGGAAAAGCTTATGTTTGGGGTTCCTTCTCAGCCTGGCTGCTTCTTCACTACCCTGAGTCTCAGTGGTTTTATCTGTGATGCTGGGATAATGTTATTTAAGAAACAAGATAGCAGGTAAAAGGATCCGGTACTCATGTTTCAGCACATTTTACTGTAAGTTAGAAACCCCACATTTTTACGTGAAATCTTCTGAGTGTGTGTGTGTCGGCAAAGAGCTCATTACAGAACAAAGGAAAGTGCCTTGAAAGCAACATAACATGGACCCAGCGGTGGGAATGCCCTCGCTCCTCCAGGCCCCCAATTTACAAACCCTGACTATTCTTGGAAGTGAAACCCTACTTTATTCTAGGCTCCAAGAATATTACACATAACTTCAACTGCTGCCTGCCGCAGCTTCCCAGATCGACTCATGAGAGGTCACATTCACGTCCAAATGCATTCATTCTGCCCCTTGGATGCTACATTCATTCATTCAGCTAAGACTTAGCAAACACCTAACGTGTGCTGAGTGTGATTCTAGATAAAAGAGTTAGAAAGGTAAACAAAACACACAGCTCTTCCTGTACCCTCTGCAGGTAGCATGGTCCCCACTTCATGTCGTAGAGGAGAGAGGTGCACAGCACCATGTAACATGAACTTCTGTTTGTTTTGGCAGAAACCATGACAGGAACAAACTCTTCCTACCAACCTCTGAGGCAATTTAATAATTAACATTGTGCAATAACTATCGTCAAATAGATATTACCCACAAATCTTAAAAACAACAACAGCTGAACGTTATTGCCCTGTCACGTCTGCCTCTCCGTCCTGTCACGTTGGCCCAAAGAAACTGAACACTGCCCAATGTGCCAGGGTCCTTTAGACCCAATGGTCGTGGCTGCCTAGATTTTTCTTGGAGCCAGTGGGTCTATGTTTTGTGGATCCTGAATTTAATTCTGTAATTTTACATAAATAATTAACAACAGCCCTTGTTTGCAACATTCTGGCTTATCTGGGAGCCGCCTGGGGGGGTTGGGGGGCTCAGATGCTCATGGTGGCATTGGGGTGGAGGTCTCTGAGTACCAACGCACATGGATGAACTCACTGATCGATACCCAGGCTTCGAAAGACTGTATCATGCTTACTCTAAAGATCTAGATGTGAAAACTTTGCATTCTGTTTCATTGGGAACCAATATGTATCATGGCATTCATAGTTGGATACACTGGGGTAATCTTGTTTTTATACCAGAGGTGGCCAACTCCAGGCCTACAGGGGCCAGGCAGGTAGCAGAAACGAGAGAAGCCTGCCAGGCTCCTTCGGGGGCAAACTAGAGAGCCACGTCGCTGGCCGCCAGCAGCAATCCTGCGGCTCTACGGAGCGCCGCCACAGGGGAATGGCTATTTAGTATTAAAAGGGTTCTCATGTTCCTCCGAGATCAGTAAACTTTTGTCCCGGCATCCCATGAACGAGTCCTGCACAGTAGTGACAGAGTCTGTATGGACTGACGCTAGACTGTCAGTTTCATGAGGTCGTGGAATTTTTACTGTTTTGTTAACGGCTGTGTCAGCGTGTAGAACAGGCCTGGTGCATTGACTGTTCGGCCAGTAAGCCTGAAGACACGTAGCGCCCTACACAACAGCACGACCAGCACAAGACAAAGGCCACTGCTTGGCTGCGGCTCGGTTGTGTTTGAGCAGTGGGTCGCGTGCTTTCTCGTGGGTGGGTTGGGAATAGGGGCGCTCTGGCACTGGCAGGCCTCATGCAGACACGGCAGCAGGGCTCAGGAAGCAGTTCAGGTCAGGCTTGGGGGGTTCTTTTGTAAAATCACATGTGATAATACTAAATAGCCATTCCCGTGTGGCGGCGCTCAGTAGAGCCGCAGGATTGCTGCTGGCGGCCAGCGACGTGGGTCTCTAGTTTGCCCCCGAAGGAGCCTGGCAGGCTTCTCTCGTTTCTGCTACCTGCCTGGCCCCTGTAGGCCTGGAGTTGGCCACCTCTGGTATAAAAACAAGATTATCCCAGTGTATCCAACTATGAATGGCATGATACACATTGGTTCCCAATGAAACAGAATGCAAAGTTTTCACATCTAGATCTTTATTTTATTATTTTTTTTAAAAGATTTTTATTGGGGAATTGGGGGGATGGGAACAGTACTGGGGAATTGGGGAAAGGGGAACAGACAAGTTGCTGTCATTTTATTCTTCAGTCTAGTTGTGGAGGACGTTGCTTCACTGGCCCAAGTTGGCACCATCATTGCGCTCTTCTCTGGCGAGGCAGATCAGTCGCCGGCTTCTGGACAGCCGCTCATTGCGGCTGCTGGCCACTCACGCTGGCTGCTGGCCGCTCATGCTGGCTGCTGGCCGCTCATGCTGGCTGCTGGCCACACACTGTAGCCCATGGCAACCCACTGCCACAGGGACTGCAGCCCACGCCGTCGCCGGCGACTCATAGGCAGCCCAGCTCCAGGTTGAGCTGTTGTTTAGCATCTTAGCTGTGGAGGGCAGTGTCACTGGCCCTCATATGTGGGATCCAAACCGGGGCCCTCTGGCATCCCAAGCGAGTTCTTAACCATCGCGCCACTCGGCCAGCCCCACATCTAGATCTTTAGAGTAAGCGTGATACAGTCTTTCGAAGCCTGGGTATCCATCAGTGAGTTCATCCATGTGCATTGGTAATCAGAGACCTCCACCCCAATGCCACCATGAGCATCTGAGCCCCCCAACCCCCCAGGCGGCTCCCAGATAAGCCAGAATGTCGCAAACAAGTTTCACCCTTTTCCTTCCAAGCATGTGGCAACATGTGTGGGGGGAGGGGTGCGCAAAAGTGAGGAAAAGCCCCACAATTTGTTAGTACTCCGGGTACGGCTTTTACTGTCAGGGTATTTGGTTGCTGTACAGCCCTGACTGTTTCAAGAGCTCCCACGAAGGTATCTGAGTGTACTGCTTACTGGCTATCTCTCCAGGGGGCCTGGCACTTCCCAATCTGCCTTCTCATTGATCTTGCCACTAGAGGTAACTTAATTTTAAAAGTAAATTCCCCAGACTATCCAGAAACTAAACTAGCCTCTTCTATTTTATTGTGTAGCGATTCTAATAAGAGTCCTATTTAGTGAGCACACACAAGGTTATATACACTTGACCCATCTCCATCACTCATGTAGACTTGATGGGCTTCTCAGGAGTATTACTGTCCCCATTTCTCAGATGAGTAAACTGAGGCACAGAGAGGCACCCAGTGTCTATCTGGAGCTAAGACAGAACATGGGGGAATGGAGCTGTAAGTCTTCAATGGGTGATGTGAAAGCTATTCGTGGTTTTATGGGACTTCGGGGACCTACAGTAGGCCAGAAGGAGATGGCTGCATCACACCCAATCTCTAACTTCTCTCAGCTTTGTCAAGGCTTTCAGATGGGGTCTCAGCCTCTGTGCTACGCTCCCCCGGGGGTGTGACCATGGCAGGGGACGGGGGAATTGGGTGCTCTTCGCCTTCGCAGCAGGAAGGAGTAATACATGGTGTGTGATCTTAACCAGATGGGCAGGAGGGGGTCAAACCCAGCCCTGTGGTGGGTGAATGACCAAGGAGAAGAGGTGAAGTGGACTTTCGGGGATGTAACAGACCTGACCTGCCGCACAGCCAACGTCCTCACACACGCCTGTGACCTGCAGCAGGGAGATCGGCTGATTCTGATTCTGCCTCGAATCCCTGAGTGGTGGCTGGTGAGCCTGGGCTGCATACGAGCAGGTCAGTGACCCCAGAGACCCCCAGGGCCCCCAGGGATGGCCCAGAGCCAACTGGTCCTAGAATAGGAGGCACGTTCTCTACGCCGACATTTTCCTTTTTCCCAGTCTTTCTCTTTCTCAGGCTCCCTGAAATATATTTCATTCCTTCACTTACTCTCTCCCTCATACTCACAAGCTCTCAAATGGAATGTCATAATTCTCTTGCATTCACACACAGAGAGAGAGAGACACACACACACACACACACACACAACCTCTTGCACAGCTTCAGACATTATTTTTTTAAGGTTGATCAATTGTTAACATTTTGCCATATTTGAGGCCCCCATCCCCACTGAATTATTTAAGAATCAGTTGCAGACACTGTGACACCCATAAATACCATATAAATATCCATAAACAGCGGGGCATGCATATGCTAAGATCCAAGACCTTACCCTCACGTAACCACAGTAGACTTATCAAGTAGGCAACCAATCTGACACTGATCTGACGCACAGCCATAGTCAAAATCCCTCAATTGTTTCGATAATTCTCTGTATAGCCAATTTTGTTTTTTCTTTAAATCCAAAACCCAGTTGAGGATCATGCGTGACATTTAGTTGTGATGACTTCTTAATCTCCTTTAACCTGGAATGGTTCCCTCGCCTTTTCCGCATGGCGATGACATTTTTGACATGTCATTTGACGTTTTTGCAGAAGGTCCCTCAAAATTTGTATTTCTGACTCTTGCTTCATGACCGTGTTCATGTTAAACATTTTTAGCAGGAGTTCTAGAAGGGCACTGTGTGTCTTTCTCAGTGCATCACCATCAGGGGGCATGTGAAGCTGTTTTGTTCTATCATCGGTGATACCTTTTTATCCCATTTGAGAGGTGGTATTCACCTCTGTACAGATACCTTTCCCCTTTGTAATTAGTAAGTAATCTGTGGCGTAATATTTATGAGACGGAGTGAATATCCTGTTTCTCAGCTGTCTCTCACCCTGTGGTTTGAATATCCATTGATGATTGTTGAATATTATTAAGGTGGTTTTATATGAGGATTTTCTTATATCATTCCCTCTACATTTATTAGTTAGCATTCTTCTGTAGAGATTCCCCTTTCCCAGTTAACTATCTGTCATCTATCTATCTATCTACCTATCTGTCTATCATCTATCTATCTAATTTATTACAGAAACGGTATGGGGCTCATGGATTCTTTTTGATTCACTTCAGCTGAATCACATGTTGTATGAATGTTCCTACAACAATGTGTTATGCTCTTGTTCATATATTCTCTCTCTCATGCTCTCTCACAAACAAAATAGTTGCTTAATTCACCAAGGTCACGTGGAATCGAAAATGAACAGCAACAGTAGGGGGAGTAGAGAGAAACCGTGTCCTCTGTAGAGCTGAGAGATGGCCCATGGGCGGTCCAAAACCTGAGCTAAGCCCTCTGGTGTAAGCACAGTTAAAGAGGGGTGGAAGCAAAGGGCGGGAATTCCAAGAACAGGCATAGCACATGCAACGCCTTGGAGTCGGGAGGAGCCTATGTGACGAAGAGCCATTTCGAAAGAAAGAAGGGAGTTCTGGAAGAAAAAGGTGGAGGGTGGGCAGTGCCTTCGGTGTCAGGATGGGGAGTGGGGTGTTTTCCTGGAGAGAGAGCAGAGATGTTAGTGACGAGAAGAAATGTGGAGGGGGAGGAGTGACTGCTCTGTGGAACTTAAGCAGGTGCCAATATGGAGGGTGGGTGGCAGGAACCTTCAGGGCAGGGCATCCGGTGGAGAGATGAGAACCCAACAGACTTGAATTCCACAGACTTGAACTACTTGTTGGTGATAGAAGATGGAAGGAAGAAGGTAGGAAAGTTCAAGTGGTTAACATCGTGGTTACCTTTGGATATGAGGAATGAAGGAAAGAGAGGCGACTCAAGGTGGCACAAGGGACTGACTGAGAGGAGAAGAACACAGACGAGGTTGCAACGAGTCCTGATGTCAGGGACACTGTCCTACTTGTATTTATAGTCCCAGAGCCCATGTGAGGTTGTGCAGAGCAGGGTCCACCTGTCTCCTGGCCGCATCCATCTAGAGTAGAAAAGGTTAGGGCAAGCTTTTCAAGGCTTACTGTGCACAGGAATCACTTGGAGATCTTGTTAAGATGCAGGTTCTGATTCAGCGGGTTTGGGGTGGGGCATGAGATTTCGTGTCCCAGGTGGCGAAGATGCTACTGGCCTACAGACCATACTTTGCACAGCAAGAGTTTAGAGGATTTCTCTGCCATCAGCCAGGCCTGAGCCCCTGGCTGTGAAAGAGAAACTGAAACAAATGGCTCCTTTCTCATCCCCAGGGATTATCTTTGTGCCAGGGACTACCCAGATGAAGGTCAAAGATTTTGTCTACCGACAAAATCTATCGAAAGCCAAGGGCGTCATAACCACAGACACCCTGGCCCCAGAGGTGGACTCGATGGCTTCTGAGTGTCCAGCTCTGAAAACCAAGATCCTGGTGTCTGACCACAGCCGTAAAGGATGGCTGGACTTCCGCTCCCTGATTAAGTAAGTTTCTGGTCCGATGGACATGCTCTCTGAGCAATGGCGGGGGAAGGCCGTCCACCCCCAGGCGCGGGCGGACAAGCAGCCAGTGCTAGGGGGCTCGCCAGGTCTCACCCCAGAAAACTTCTCGTCTCAGCTGTTGCTGTGTAACCCTGGGCTTCCCTCTCCCCTCTTGGCTGTGGTTGTTTTCTCTGTAACATAAAGACATTGCATTTCCATGCTTCTCTCACTAAAGTATGATCGTCCCTGGGCTGTGCAAAAGGGACGTGTAAATTCAGGGGGGTTACTCTATCACATCCTCCTTGTAGGTGGGGAATCTAAACTATTATTCATATTTAAAATGTATATATATATATGTGTGTGTGTATATATATGTATCAGTAAGTTGAGTGAAAGATTAAAAATGAGTTTTTAAGGTAAAAGTTGAGGCTGTAAGGAACGTTAAGGCAGGAAGTTTGGGGAGCAAACTCTTTCCATCTTCCAGGGGCTGGGTGATGTTAGGGACGGCTCGCAGGAAAAGTTAGACCAATGCTGGAGGTAAGAAAGGCCCCTTCCACACCAAAACTCTGATTCTGTCAGCATTCAGACATGTTAATGTCACACACACTGTCACCGTGAGAAACGTCCAAACCTGTAGAGAATTTTGCTAGGCGTTTGTTTGAGTCACACTGACAGCACATGCCGGGGAGCGAGATCTCAAAGGCTTTGCAGAGTGACAGTTCTGCAGGTTCTTTTATTCGTTTGGGGTTAAGGAGGATGACATGGAGGGGGGAGAAAGCAAGGCGGGATGGATCACAGATTCTGTGCTCTCTTGAGGGTTAATACCCCTGCCAAGGGGTAATACGTCTGGCATTTCAAAGGTGTGTTAACCTAAATACATATGAACGATGGATAGGGCTGGCTGAACTTTTCCCTAAAGACGTTACAGACCTGGGGTGGGAGGGTGACTCCCCACCCTGACCTCCCAGCTGGGAATCTATGATCAGGTGGTGTTCCATAGAACCCCATTTTCATCCACAGCACAAACCATGGGAGGGTTTGTGAAACCGAGAGAGGGTTTCTCTTTCCCTTTTTTTAAAAAATTTTATTGGGGAACAGCCATGGGCATTGGTTACACATTGCTTTCCTACTACAATGGCAGAGTTGACTCTTTTAAGGGGGGGGGGCGCAGCTCACAGTGGCCCATGTGGGGTTCGAAACAGCAATCTTGGTGTTATCAGCACCACACTCCAACCAACCGAGCTAACCGGTCACCCTCTTTTTTTTTTTTTAATTGAAGTAAATACGTTTATAACATCGTGTAAGTTTCACTGGGTTTGTTTTCTTGAAGTAACCCTTCAGTTTTTAGAGCTCTTCCCTTCAACCCCAAAAGGCAAACATTACACAAAGTCGCTTCTTACGCTACATTCTAGAAGTCGGAAAGGTAAATGAAAAAAGCTTAAATAAATAATACTGTTTATAAATCCCTTAAATTGCCCGGAGTCAGGATGGTACCGTTTCTCAGCAAGACCCAGTGTCTCCTCTGGGCTTTGTGGCTATTTGAGGTTCTCTGAACGGCGCAGGGAGTCACACTGGGCATTGCAGCAGCCCAGGCGCTAACCCAAGGCTCACGGCCGATGGAGGGAACTGCAGATTCACACCAGGGAGGATGTACGTCTATATTTCTTTCTCTCTCACTCTCCCTCACTTTCTCTTCCCCACCCCTCAGCACCAAGGTTATGGGGTTCAATTCCTGTAAAGCTAGTTTATGTGAAAACAAGCGTGATCAAGAGCACAGCCTATGGGTCAGCCCATCTGGGTCTGAACGCTGGCTCCGACACTTGCTGGCTGTGTGTCTTAAGGCAAGTTACCTAACCTCTCTGAGCCTTAGTTTCCTCATCTGCAAAATGGGTATGACAAGAGCTGAAAACATGGCCAGTGCTATTTCAGTGTTTGTTAAATGAAAAGCTAACCCACTGTGTTTGCCCCGTTTTTCAAATGAAGAAATAGCCCACATCACTCGTCCACTCTGCTGGAAGCCTCACACCTGGAGAACCAGTTTTTCCTCCAGTGTTGCAAAACCCCAGTTTTCTGACCGCAAAGTCAGATTGTTTCTTTTGCTTTCCCTGAGGACAGAAAACCAGGAAACATGACCTCTCCCCTTTTGTGCTGAATCCCTCTGTAGAGCAGCGTCGCCTGATCACACCTGTGTCAAGTCAAAGACCAATGACCCAATGGTCATCTTCTTCACCAGCGGGACCACAGGCTTACCCAAGATGGCAAAACACAGCCATGAACTTGCCTTACGCAGCTCTTTGCCTTCGTGGTAAGAAAGAGGGCGCCAGCTTCGAGGCTGGGTCACAGTGGGGGCACGGAGTGTGTGTGTGTGTGTGTGTGTGTGTGTGTGTGTCTCCTGCTGCTCCTTGCTGCCCTCTTTGGCTCAGACCACAGAGGGTCTAGGAGGTGAAGGCCTGGACTCCTAAGTGTTTGCTGACAGAACCCTCCAAACGACAACGGGGGTCCTTCACAGGACACATGGAGGAGCTGTGGGTGCAGGCGGCAGGCACCTGCGAGTCACCTAAATGACAAGCCATTATGTCCCTGTCAGTGGTTCCAGGGCTTGGTGAGCAAGATACAACATTGCAGCACGTGACCCAAGGACACAGGTCCTCATTCCTCCTCCATGATGGGAAAATCAGGCTTGGAGTTTCCCAGCCATGAGCTGTTATAGGAAACGGTTCCCAGAACCAAGCAACGGCCTTTCACCTAGAACAAATAACTGTAGAGGTGGAAGCGGTGTAGCCTTTGGTTAATCATTTAGTCAATTTCAAACCAAACCTCCTCTGCCCTTTTCACCTCCCCCATTAGTAATATTCAGAGCAGACCAAGTTCTATATATTTTCTAACTTATCTACCAGACCAGCGGGCAGAAAAGACTTATTGCGCACACTGGGTATCTGTGCTGACGACACTTGAACAGCATCACCCTGGAGGAATGAGAGTGAGAAGAAGAGGGTGGTCCTGTGCAGTCAGAATGATACAAGCAAAGGCACAAAGATATGAACAGCGGTATCCCTAGAACTAGAGAGGTGTGAGAATTGCTGGTGCTCAGGGTGTCAGGCGAGCGACAAGCAGCAGGGGCCGGGACAGCGAGCAGGACCCCATCCCACGGGGCCGTGAGGGCTTATTTGGAAAACATGGGGAGGTACTGAAGGGTTTTTAGCAAGGGAGAGGCCTCACAGGTTTGTGTTTTGACCAGCTCGCTGTGGCTGTAGGATGGAGAATGTGTTGGAAAAACAACAGATTCAGAAAGGTCCGTTAGAGGGTCTTAGACCAATGTGGGCGAAAGATGGTGGTGGCGTGGACAAGGTGCCAAAGACTTGGAGGAAGTTGACACATGGGAAATTTTAGGAGGCGGAATGGACAGGGTCTGCTGGCCAGACATGGGAGGTAAAGAAGGGGGAGTCAAGGCTGACTCCCAGGTTTCGGGCTGGGACAGTTTCATGGACAGTAATGACATTCACTGAAATGCAGAGAATACTAGAGAAGAATTAGCCCAAGGTAGTTGGGAGGGACCAGAATCTCCTGGGTCTGAGGTGCCAGGAGAGATTTTCAGCGGACAGCTGGGTCTGAAGCTCAGAACAGAGGTCCCCCTAGCTCAGGGGTCGGCAAACTCTCGAATCATTTTTAAATTGTTGTGAGGGACAGGATTGCCTCTTCCAGGGGTTGGCAAACTTCTGAGACAGAATGTACCCAAAGAGCCGCATGCGGCTCGCCAGCCGCAGTTTGCCAACCCCTGCCCTAGCTAGTAGCGTCCTGTGGGTGTGCCACCGCCCCAGGAGAGGTGGGGTGGGGGAGGGTGAATGGCTTACCAAACCCCACCCACTAACAGAAAATCCCCTCAAAGCCATAGCCTGCTCACGTCTCAAGGAGTTATGCACACAAAGGTCCCCCAGAAGCAGTAAAAGTGGGGGTGAGAACACCAGCGACCTCCTTTTAGCTCAATGTTTCCAGTTCCTTGCCAAGATGAGGTATTAATCGGCGCCGGCCCTCTCTCCCTCTCTCTCCTCCTGCAAACGACAAAGTCCAATCTAAACGTCTTTAAGCCAAAGAGTGAATTAGGGAATTTGGAATTTGCAGGATCATGAAACAGCGCTCCAGGGTTCGGCATCAGCGATTGCTGGGTGGCCTCCAGATTTGTGTTTCCCTCTCTCCATCTACAAGCTGTTTCTATTATGTTTTGTTGCTGTTCTCAGAAAGCATCCCCAAATAGCTTATTATCCCCAAATAGCTGTCAGCATCCCCCAGGACTATATATCAGTAACAGATTCGAATCCACAAGAAGAGCAATACACTTTGTCCCAGTATTCCCAGACTGCCGGCTCGTGGTGATTGAACCACTTGAAGTCCCACGTGACCAGGACCCAGGGTGGGAGGGAGCCTGGAGCCCCCCGCACAAACCACAGGACCTGAGAAGCAGGGTCCCCAACCCCTGATCATACCCTCCCACGATCACATAACTGAGACCACTATATTTTGGAGTTAGCAGTCGCGTGATGCAAATGAAGACAAATGATATCTTCTGGTGCCTGTCAGACCCAGGCTGGGTTACAGCCCTCGTGTGCTCCATGTTTCATCCCTGGACGGTGGGGTCCACGGTCTTCTCCCACGACCTGACCCAGTTTGACCCGAAGCTCATTGTGCAGGTAAGAAGGCTACCTTTCCAGTAGCCACAAGCTCCCAGGAGAAACTCACGTTTCAAGCTCTGGAGCTAGGACCCAGTGAGAACTAGCTTAACAGAGTAAAAAGAAGCCTGTTAATAATGATATCACCTGGGTTCTGGATTTCTCGAAATGCCAGGTGCTCAATCAGTCATTGTGTCCAAATCACTCGGAATATACACTTTGAAAAATTAAAGCCACCGGAACAAACTGGTCTTCCAGCTCCTGGCTCCCAGGAAGCGGCGCGCGCGCGCGCGCGCGCGCGCGTGTGTGTGTGTGTGTGTGTGTGTGTGTGTTGGCACTCAGTTTAATAAAGTTTTTAAAAACACAGCCCTGGAAATATGATGGCTCTGGTCTCTTTCCCCACGTTTAACATTGGCTAGCGGTTTACTTGCCACTGTGAGCCTCGGCTTCCTCATCTGTAAGATGGGAGTTCTAATGGTTACTACCTCATAAGATGATTGGGGATATTAATGAGCTGATATAGGTAAAGTGTGCAACATGCACAGCCCTGAGGCCGACGCCTAAAAAACACTCAGTAACTGGCAGCAGCTGCTGTCCCTGTGACGCATACTTCATGCTGATAACTGATGTCCCCGCGGGCTGCAAATCTGAGTCTCCACTCACAGCCCTGCACGGTCCATCTCAGAGGCAGCCTGGCCCCTCCAGCTCTCAAAGTCCAGCCCCCGCTACCCTACCCTTTCCCAAGAGATCAGAATTCAAATGCTCGTAGTTGGCCGATATTGTTTCATCTTAACTCTAAAAATAAAGCCCCTTCTCTCCTCACTGCCTAGATAATGTTCGAATACCCAGTGACCCAGTGCTTTGCTGTACCCACTGTGTTCCGGATGCTTCTGCAGCAGGACTCCGCCAGGTACGGCGGAGGGGGCTCAGCTGTGGTGACCATCGTTGGGTAGGATTTGCAGGACTCTGAAGCACTGTGGTCTGACTGTTCCTAACTCTGATTCTTTGAGGGGTGTGTGTGTGTGTGCGCATGCATGCACAGTGTGTGTGAACAGTGCACAGTGATAAGTATCAGCCAGCCTGATTAATTTATTAAGCAGGGCTCAAGAGATCCAATCAAAGCAGTCAGTGAGCTTTGCATCATTGTCGGCTTTTTCTCTTTTAAACATTTTTACTGTGAAAAGACAAACATACAGAAAAATACACGAGACATAAATTTACAGATTAAGGAGCCGTTGAAAGTAAAGTACCTGCGGAACCAGTCATCCAAGCCATAAAAAGAGAGCACTGCCAGCACCCCAGGGACCTACGCATCCCTCTCCATTGCCACTGAAGGAAGCCACTGTCACTTTTATGGTGTTCACGTCTTCACTTTCCCTTATATAGTTCACCTCCTTCGGAAACATCCCTAAACAAATCACTCCATTTTACTTGCTTTTGAACGTTACACGTGTAATCGCATATTATTCTGTAATATCTGGCTTCTTTTTTCAACATTATATTTCTAAGATGTGTCCACATTATATTGGTATAGCTAATTTTCATTGCTGCAGCTAATTGGCATTGCTGTACAATACCCTATTTTAGGAAAATTCCACATTTTTTAAATCAGTTCTACCATCAATGGGCATTTTGGCTAGTTTTCTTTTTGGAGCTAGTGATGGTTAATGGAATTCTAGCATCTTTGCCCAGGTGCACATAACCACACATTTACGTGGTGTTTTTTCTAGGAGAGAAATCACTAGGCACAATTTATGCTCCCACTGGCAGGGCAGGAGAATTCCCACAGTGCCGTGCCCTTGGCTCTGTTCTGGTCAAAGTTTTTAACGTTTGCCAATCTGATGGATGCATTGTGTTATTCTGTTATGATCTTATTTTTGCATTTCCCCGTGTTTGTGGGGTTTTATCTAAGCTGAACCTAGTGTGCCGTAAGCACATTTTAGAGAGTCTGAAACAACAATGGCTGCTTCAAACATCAGAGTGAACATGTTATAGACAGAGTCAAAAAGCAAAGCGTTCAACTGCCCTTCAGCCAAGCCCGCTCTGAAGTACACATTGATTCGATTCAGGAAGCCTCAGTCTGGCTGGATCCTGGGTCCATCTGTATTTCAAAGCTCATGTTGCAGCCACTTTTTGCAACATTCCCCAGTAAAAACCCAACCAGGGCATAACTAATGACACCACTGGCGACTCCGCCCACTTTATCTACTCTGGAGAAAGCTCCGGAAGAATGAAGAAGGCACATTCAGCGGAACCAGCCTGTCTGTCCGTCACTCCTGACTGTGTACCAGGAGAGGGTGACAAGGGTGGGATGGTGAACCGGGTGTCTGCCACCCCCCTCATCCCCAAGAGCTGGCCGGGCTCAGCCACAAGCCAGCCGCTTCTCAGGCCTCAATCTCTTCTCCCCATTTCCTTCAGAGAATCCACTCTTCCTTTGTGATTGTTTTGGTGTTCTTGATGGACATTTTTGTGGGGGGTGTGAAAGAGAGGAGCTCCGGGACGTGGTGTGCCTAGTACACGATGCGCCTGCGGCCTGTGCTCACAGCACACTCTTCTGTTCTCTTCCACACCCCTCCTCTTGGGGCTGTTACCTGCGGCCCGTCCTCTTTCTTTACACTCAGCCCAACCTTCCTGGACGTCCTCAGCAATTCACTTCCAACCCCTAACTTGCCTTCTCCACTCAGAAGCACAAAAGCCTTCAGCTCGCAGAAGCCCACTCTCCACAAGAGGCAGGAAATATAGTTGGGGCACCATTCCAGCACGTGCTTGGGGTCTTATCCTTCACCCCATTATGGTTCATAAAAATCTCTCTCTTAACCACTTGGAATGCTGCCCTAAGCCAAAGTCTGACAAGCACAGCTTTACCCTGGCGTTACGTCAACATCCAAATTGAATTTGAACCTCCCTAGTTGGACCCATTAGCCTCACCCCACCCCCACCCCGTAGTCCCAGGCCCCGAACAGCTAACAGGGGCTGACAGGGAGTGATGACTTGGCTGTGACCATCAGTGAACTGGCAAGAAGGCAAGTAAGGAAGCCAGGAAGCAGAAGGATGGGTGAGCCATACGACAATGTGGGGAGCTCACAACCCCTGAGGCCTGAGGCAGGTCACCCTGGGCCTGATCTGTGGCTCGGCTGACGCCTTGCTGTCCCCTAAGTCTCAGATTCCCCAACCTGGAGTGCTGCTGGACGGGCGGGGAGGCTCTGCTGCTCGAGGACCAACAGAAGTGGACACAGAGGACAGGGGTGCCGCTCATTGAGTTGTACGGACAGACAGAGACGGTACGTGGATG